ACATAAAACAAATAAAAACATTCACCCACCTTTAACACGCAACTCTGAACAAAAGCATCCAAATAACTCCATGTACCAAATCGTCTGTTTATTATCTAAATAGATTCAGATTAATGCTATAATTATAAAGAGACAACAAATAAAAAAATTTCACCCACCTTTCTTAACACGCATTTCTGAATGAAAGCATCCAAATAATTTCATGTCCTGAATTGTCCGTTTATTATCTAAATAGATTGAAGTTAACACTATGATTGTAAATATGAAATAAATAAAAGAAATTATCATCTTTATTAGATTTTAGGTTAACAATACGATATACACACCTTTATTAGATTTTGAATTGGCACATGATGTATTATATATCATTGTCTGCTGATGCAATTAATGCTATTGCTGCGAAGAAAATGATGAATCGTCACAAATAAAGAGACGATTGATTTGAAGTCCTCAAAATCGCAATGCAGCTAACATCAGAATAAAGCATAATGTAAAAATGCAGATCTCTTAAAAAATAGCGATTGCAAATGAAAATTAAGTTACTCAAGAATCCTTTGACTTTTTTGATGTTATTATCGCGTTTAGCATGATAAATACCTCATCATCATATAGTATCTCAGAGCTAAGACTTATAATGTAGATCTTCACCAAAAACTGCCAGTGGAAAGGAGACTGCAGATTGCAGATATACACAAGGGGTAATCCACTTGGACGTGAATCTCTATAGCAAAAACGTGTCAGCATTAAGCTTTTGTAGTAGTTTTATTAAATCATATAATTTCAACCTAACGACTTTATTAAAAAACGGAATGAGTGAAAACAATTCTGAAGGTAAAATGCCCAACTGATAATAATGAGATCATGTAAATATAAATAAAAAATTATATTTCATTTCTCCTGATAGTTCAAACTTCTGAAATCAAAATATGCACCAGTTGTTATTGTGTGAAGATGATGATAGATTTCTGCTGTCGACATGATAATAATCCAATATATGAGCATGCAATCTGTAATCGATACTATGAAAGACGCAAGAATAAAAGAAATGAAATTAATAAAAATTCAATATTAAGAAAAAAAGCTAAATTGGTGACTGATCT